TTTCCCAACTCTACTTACCTTTGTTTTCTTTTTTCGTTTATCATTTTATGTTCAAGTTTATCATTTCCTCCACGAGACAATCTATGTTGATAGATATTTCCAGCTCTATTCTCCTTTGCTTTTAGGCTTTTAGCCAAGAATTCATGAGTGGTGCGAGACTTTACAAAATTCTTCCAACGTTTATTATCAATATATGAATACTTAACGTATGAAGGCGCTTTATTATCTTTTAGATGATTAATATAATCATCTGTGAGTTGTGTCTTAAAGCTCATCCAACGCTCACCATCATATGCAATCCATTTCTCTTTCAACATACTATCCTTTGGAATAATAAACACTTCATACATTTACATAATATAGTTTATATTAGTATTCAACCAAAAAATAACTGGTCATATCTACTTGTAAAACAAATCATACAATTCATAATAAATACCATAATATCGGTCCATATTCTATCTTTCAAATCATTGTCAACCTCGTGCTAATCATCTATCAAAATACTCACTTTGCTTCTACCTTGTAATGTTATGTAACCCTTAAAATCATCAATATTTTTACCATAAGCCTTACCGGTTCTTAGATCAAAATTAATCGGGGTGCAAACACAAATTTCATGGGATTTTTTAAATTTTATCAACATCACGACACCTCTAGTTTTTATTTTACTTTTTCTATTAATAGAGGTTGCAACAGATGTTGTACGAGAGGTACTTGTCGAATAACTCATGTTTGTGTAAATTAAGAAAAATAGCAACATATAACAAAAATACCAACATGAACTTCAAAGCCACATCACATAACACTTCATCATAAATGATTTATAATATAGAATAATACTAACTAGAAACATACACTTAGGCTTTGTTTATATTGATGGAATCAAATGGAGCAAAGCGGAATGATATGGAATGGAATGATATTTCATTTTTTAGATCATTTAAAATTCGATGGAGTAGAGTGGAATGGAGTGATATGAATTCCATTCCATTACATCACTTACCACCATATTTCTTCCCCTCCAATTTTGGTGGAATGAACAACTTTCATTATGTCGTTCTAAAATTTCCAAACAATAGAATAAGACATTCGTTCTACTCTGCTCCATTCCACTCTGTTCACTTTATGATATCCAAACATAACCTTAAGTAATAAGTTATTATGAAACATTTCAAGAAAAACAACATATATGGAAGAGTTACGTACATTTCTATGAACATTTCTAAAACTAACACCATAGTGCGTAACACAATTTCTATGAACATTTCTAAAACTAACATCATGTGTATGATCATTTCAGTGGTAAGTTACATACCTCAAACTTGATGTGAAGCTTCAACGAGTTTTAAAAAAGATGATGTTCGAGTTGATATTGGAAGAGTTAAATATAATATCCCATATACCCCCTTAAATATTCAATTGGTTGTTAGTTGATACCAACTGAGTTCCTATGTACTCTATCTTTTGTCAGTTGGAACAATTTGAGCTCCTATGTCCCCTAAGTGTTGTCAGTTGGGGACCAATAGAGTAACCAGTGAACACTAAAGAGATCAATCTTTATTAAAAGATATTGACCCTTATTAATTAATACTCGAAGGTGCATTTTGGTAACACTAATATTTGGTTAATTGGTTTAGAAAGTAAGAAATATTTACCCTTGAGATATTTCCTTACTAGCTTTTAATCCTAACCACATCATACAATATATTATTATATATGTATGTGGTGGTGGAAAAGAAGAAAGTAGATAGAATATATAAGAATGAAAGAAAAAGGATATGAGCAAATAAAGAAAAATGTGAAGAAGAGGAAAAGAAAAAGAGAAGAGAAAGAGAAAAAGAAAGAGGAAAGAAGAGAAGAAGAATAAGAAAGGAAGAAGAAGGAAAAACTCATAAATTCATCATCTTCATCATTCTCATCATCAATTTCATATCAATTTCTTCATTAATTTTTTTCTTGAACAAGGTGACTTCTAGTTAGAAACTCTATGATTATTAAGAGTTAGGGTTTTGAGGAAACATAGAATAGATGTTGGTGATTCATGACATTTTAACTTGCATTATTCCTTATTCTTGAGAAAAATCCATGGTTGTTGTGTTCTCATGTTGATGAATTGTTGTAGCTTTCATTCCTATTGTTGTTATTGTTTTTATCTTTGATTTCATGTTGTATTGGGTCATTGGATGCATCAAGATGATGATTTTTGGTGTTTTTCTCACCGAAATGCGTCCAGATACTATTCTAGTTCGCTATAGCTCGCTAAGGTTTGCTAAGCGAAGTCAGGGGAAGTTTGCTTCTGACTTGGTTCACTAGGAGTTTGCTCAGTGAAGTCTAGTTCTCTAAGAAAACTTGCTTGCACTAAGAAAAATACTTTTCTTCTTGTTTCCACCATAACTTGGAATGAGGCACAATCGGAAGTGTTGAAAAGATCTTTCAATGTTGTATTTGATAGTGAAGTAGAAACATGGTTTTGTTCTAATAATTAATAGGATAATATTGATAAGTTATAATGTATTGTATGATGAAATTTGAAGTGAATGAAAATACTTTGTTTTCCTTGTTTCCACCATAAAATGGGAATGATAGCCTCAATTGATATGAGGGAAGATGCGTCAGGAAGCTAACATATAGCACTATGATATAGAGAGATGTCTCTATGAATTATTCTAATGAATCATTCCCTTTAAGTCTGGTGAACCCCTACCATGGGATGATCAGACAAATGTTGCTATGAGACTTAGGAGTGGAATAAGTTAGAAGGAGACGAGTTGTGTGATAACCTTGCCGATGTTTTTGTAATGTGTTATGTCACCATGGGTGCCTTATATAGGTTATGTTTTATATCATGATGCATGGTTTATATTATGAATTTTTGTTATGTGGCTTGGGTAATAACATGATTAAAACCTTATGAAGATGAGTGAGGAAACCAAGGATTATAACTAGGTAAATGAACTAGAAAGAACCCTTAGGTTATGAAAATGACTTAGATGGCGATGTTTGGACATAAAGGATACCTTGGTGTGTGTCGTAGATAAGTAGTCGCTAGAACCACATTTTAGTCATGAACTATATGCTTTGTATGGAACATATTGTGTTGTGGTTTTGTTAAGGTGAATGTGTTTTCCTTATGATTGTCGAATACAATTACATTGTGTTTCTATTTAATCACGTAGTCAGAAACAACCCCTTGATTGTGTCGTCCCATGTTACGATGCTTATATAGAGTAAGAATTGGGATGTACGCACTCATACTTGAATGACCTGAGTTTGAATCCCAAAGGCGGTGGATCCAAAAGTGGGTTAGAGGCTCATACAAGTAAAAGACTTGAAATGGGTTTGGAGTCCTATAGGAAGTGATGATTCTTAAGGTGGATGTAATCCCTTAAAATTCGAAATCCATGTGTATGTCAAAGTATGAGATAGGTATCTGTGACCCGTATCAATAACCCTAAGCATAGGGCTTGCTCGGGAAAGATGCCTATGATATAAGTATCTATGACCCGTGTCGACAACCCTAGGTATAAGGCTTGGAGGGGAAAGATACTTATGATACAAGGATCCATGACCCGATTCCATAACCCTATGCGTAAGGCTTGCCGAGAAAAAATACCTTGATTTGATTTCCGATTAGTGATTGTTTGAGTTAGATGAACTCAAGAGACATGTTTCCATATATTGCGAGTTTTGTGTACTCAAGTCTTTCCCCCTTTTGACTTGAGTTAGGATTTGATTAGAACCTTGTAGAGCCGAGTGGACCCATAAGTAGGGAACTCATTGATATTATTATATTACCTCAATCTTATTGTTGCTTTTCAGGTTTTGTTGCAGGTTACATTATACAAGAGGAACTGTGCATAAATGTTTCAAGGGGTGTAGTTTATTGTGATCTTCCGCTGTGTATCTTGTACAATGATGGATATTGTACTTAGATCTTATATTCTTATTTTTGGCACTTTCCATATCTTGTATCATATGTTGTATTTTTTGTTTAATTGATCAAGTATGTAAATGATGCCAATAGACACTTATGATTGTGTTAGTTCCAAATAATAACACTTGGATGATATTATTTTAGATATATAATATACAGGTTGTTACATTGACGTTGAAAAGAGACGATGTTCGAGTTGATGTTGGAAGAGTTTTTAAGAAAACCGCCTAGGGATTTTGTGAAGAGAATGACAATGAAGTTAGAGTGTTTGTTGATAGGTAAATGAAACGTTAGAGTCTAGCTCTATGAAGTATTCATGCAATAGAACAAACACGACAGTTTTTAGGCTAAATCGAGGGGATATGTTACTTAAAAATAAATAAATAAATAAATAAGCAAAACCTATAGTGTCGTATTCTTGAATTTTATTTAAAATAATAACTATCACATCGATTTTTAGACAAGATAAAAATAATAGATTAAAAATAATTAAAAACAAAAAATATTTAAAAATATTAATGTAAAAGATTACTTATTAGTTGATAAACATAATAGATGATAATAAAATAAAAAATAAATAAATAAGCGAAAAAGAAAAGAGAAATGCACCATGTGACCTAAATCAAATTAAAAAAAAACATAAATTCTATATATATATTTATAGCTGATGGTTCTATCTAACTTCTAACAATATTTGCTACTTAAAATAGCAAGTCAATATCTCACACATTTCAAATACATGATCACTTCATCCAAGGGAAACTATGAAGAAAAAATGACTTCCTAGTTCTTTTTAGATGATTTTTCTTTTGGCATACTATTTGTTTTCATTGAAAACTCCTTTCAACCGTGCAAATTATAATTTTCCTAGAGTGAGGGGTCCATGAAAATAACCTTACTTTGCTCATTGGTCAAATGAATTGACTTGCTATATAATATTTAAGCAAACTGGTCCACGTCTCCACTATATTCACACATAAATTTATTACTATATATTATAGTTCTTAACTATACCTTTTGATACCACTCTATTGTTAATTCTTATTTGTTAGCTAGAGAAGACATGGATACTCTTCTTCCAAGCTCAATACAAGAACATGAAAAATCAGAGAAGCAAAATACTTTACATATTCAACATCAAAAAGATGTTGATGCTGGTGCTCTCTTTGTCCTCAAATCAAAAGGTATTATTGTTCCTTATTTATTTACCCTTCTAAAATTCTTTACATATCCCTGTGTTTTTTTTTCCTTATTTCTTTTGAATATGTAGTATATTATATGGTTTCAATAACAAATATTATGTTTAACATAAGGTTATATTTTCTTTTAAGAGAATGTAATCCATGTTACATAAAATATTCTCATATTAAATATTGAATATAATAAGGTATAATATTTTTAAAATAAAAACTTAAAATAAATGAAATTTAAATTAAAGAGTAGGACAATTTACCAGAGTTAAAATTTATTTGATTATTCATTTAGCTAGAAAAATTAAAATTAATTGTTGATTTTGTTTAATGTGTGTTAAATTTCGCCCTTTGACTAAATTTTCTAACTTAAAATCTATTTTTTTGTTTATTTAATAAATTTTAAATTTCATTTTTTTTAAACTATAAATAAATAGAATTAATATTTTATATAAGAAAAATCTCAAATCCAATGTTAATTAGACATATACTCTTAAAGAGCTTATAATAAATTAATATTTTAATATAATATAAAAAAAACCTATCAGTCGGACTATGAACTGTTTATGTTAATATTAGACACCAAATTTTCAAAAAAAAAGTTAGAAATTTTACATAAAATAATAATTTTTATCTTAAAAATCAATTTTATAAAAATAAATTAGATCAAATTTAATATTTTATTATTTTTGACAGAGTGGACTTTAATATAATGCTTGCAAATGTAAATCCTTGAAAAACTATACTCAAGGAATTAAAATGACTAGATTCATTTCACTTATAATGATATAACTTTTTATGTCGGTCCCAATTAAAAAATTCATTAGTCATGAACCCTAGATTTTAGTTGAATCATTTCATTTTTTATTGGTATTCTTCTTTCTTACTTTCAAGAATCGAAATAGTGATTCAATTTTGTGTTTTTTATTACCTACCTTTTCTGAATAACTGTTGCACATGGTGGTTGGTTGTTGCAAGCAAAGTTTCAGGTTAACAATGATATAAATATAATGGGTTCCCACTATATTTTGTGTGGCTCATAGGTACAATGTTATTTATGTCATATAAATACCTTAACCAACCAGCCAACAATTTTGAACTTTGAATATAGAAAAATATGAGAAAATTAAAAATGAGAACCGACACATTTGTTTTTTTCATATTTATTTTTTATACTTTGGTTTCTTCATATTATAATTTTCTATTAGTATAAATTTTTTTTATAATTATTTTATCCTCCATTGTCATTCTGTTACTTGAGTTAAATATTTATTTATATTTTGTATTAATATAAATAAATTATTGATACTTATAAATTAATATTTTATTTATTTATTTTGATATATATACTTAGTCTTAATCTTTCTCTAACTATATTCTCTAATTTGTTATAGGTTCATGGGTACACTGTGGTTACCACTTAACAACATCAATTGTGGCAGCACCACTTCTAAGTCTTCCTTATGCTTTCACCTTTCTTGGATGGACTGCTGGAATATTTTTCTTAGTAATTGCAGCTATGGTCACTTTCTATTCCTACAATATACTATCTTTGGTTCTTGAACACCAAGCTAAGTTGGGTAATCGTCAGCTTCGATTTCGAGACATGGCTCGTGACATTTTAGGTACCATACATTACCACGCCATCTCGTATATTTCTTTCATCCCAAATTATATGACGTCCTAATAGTGATAGTCTTATTCATCTTGTATATTTCCTTCATCTCAAATTATATGATATTGAAAGTCTTATTCTTGCTAATATGAAACTAATACTGACAGGTCCTAAATGGGGTCGATATTTTGTTGGGCCAATTCAGTTTGCGGTTTGCTATGGGGTTGTAATTGCGTGTATTCTTCTCGGGGGTCAATGCATGAAGGTAATTTTCAACTCTAATATACAATTAATCATGATGTTTTAAATAACAATCGCAGGCGCGCAAAGCCCTTCACAATTTCATGACACAAATGCAGCATGACATATTGCAGTCATTGCAGCGTGCATTAATCACAATATTACATATACAATTTGATTATATTTTCAGTGTAAAATAAAATTTTAGTTCATAATTTCGCAAAAATATAAATAATATTTTTTGTGATTTGTACTTGTATATTTTGATATCGAAAATTTTGCGTCCGTAACAATGTCGTAACTGCAGGCAATTTATGTGTTGTCAAATCCAAATGGATCTATGAAGCTTTACGAATTCGTCATCATATTTGGTTGCTTCATGTTGATTTTAGCTCAAATCCCATCTTTTCATTCATTGAGACACGTGAATCTTGTCTCTTTGGTTCTCTGCTTGCTCTATAGTGCTTGTGCTGCTGCTGGTTCTATATACATTGGTATATATTTTTCACTCATTCAATTTTCATTTTCATGCAACCTTTGTGATTCAAATATATTATATTATGGTCTAAATTACTTCACCAATGTTAATACTATAGGAAACTCATCAAAAGGACCAGAAAAGAATTATTCTTTGAAAGGTGATACCGAAAATCGAGTATTCGGAGTCTTCAATGCTCTTAGCATTATTGCAACTACCTATGGAAATGGGATCATTCCTGAAATTCAGGCTACGTTAGCTCCACCAGTTAAAGGAAAGATGTTCAAGGGACTGAGTGTGTGTTATGCTATAGTTATTCTCACTTTCTTTACGGTTACTATATCTGGTTATTGGGCGTTTGGCAATGAATCTCAAGGTCTTATCTTAAGCAACTTTGTGGATAATGGGAGGCCATTGTTGCCCAAATGGTTTGTTTATATGAGCAATATTTTTACTATAGCACAATTATCGGCGGTTGGCGCGGTAAGTAACTAATACCCTACCGTTCTCATCATCTAGTAATAGTATCTCTAACGCAAACATTTAGGATGAAAGACGGATTCAGTGTCTGACATGCGTTAGTGTGTGTCATATGTTAGTATCTGACATGTAACACATCTTTTGATTGATATTCAGTGTCTGACATGTGTTAATATCTGATAAATGTTAGTATCTGATATGTGACACTTTTAATAAATTGTATATTTTGTATTTGACACGTGTTAGCATGTATATGACATATCTTAATATCTGACACATGACACTTCTTCTGATAAAAGGTGTATTCAACGTCTACCATGTGTTAGTGTCGACCATATCAGACACGTGACACTTCTTCTATTAGAAGTGTATTCTATATCTGACATGTTTTAGTGTGTCTAACACATGTTAGTATCTGACACATGATACTTTTGGTCGAAGGTATATTTTAACACGTGACACTTTTCTTATGGAAGGCTATTCATATAAGTTGTCAGTGTCGATCACGTTGTATTTTAGTGTTTCATAACTTATGTATGACATCTATGAACCTTAATGAAGTGAACTATTGGATTTTAATGCAGGTGTACTTGCAACCTACAAATGAAGTATTAGAGCAAACATTTGGAGATCCAAAAAGTCCGGAGTTCTCGAGCCGCAATGTTATCCCTCGAGTGATTTCTCGATCATTAGCCATTACGATCGCAACCATTATAGCAGCCATGCTTCCATTTTTTGGGGACATAAACTCACTTATTGGAGCTTTTGGATTCATGCCACTTGACTTTGTTTTACCTGTAATATTCTATAACTTGACATTTAAGCCATCTAAGAGAAGTCTCATTTTCTGGTTGAATATAATAATTGCTGTTGTTTTCTCTACATTGGGAGCTATAGCAGCAATTGCAGCTGTTAGACAAATAGTCCTTGATGCCAAAAATTATAAGTTATTTGCTAATGTATGATCATGTTAGGCCATCCTAAGAAGTTTTGAATATTCTATATATGATACATTTCATTTATATGTCACATGATTTTCTATAATAATATCTATTTTACATTGTTGTACATTTGATCTCTTCACTAATAAGATAATTTTCATAATTTTGTTTATATTTCATATGTTAAGTTATTCCAAATCATCTTTGAAGTGGAATGTTATTGGGAAAATTTATGGACTTGTTGATAAAGAATCTAATTATAAAAAGTGAAAATTGCACTTTCATTCATGAGTTTAACAAATTGACTACTTACTTGAATTTTGTAGTATTGAGATTTTTGTTAGGAGAAAATCCATATCGTAATGGAATAATTCAATAACACAATTTCTTTCAAATATCAAATGCAACAATAATCAACAAAATACATCAAACAACACAACACAGTTTTAGCGTGGAAAAATCTCAGTTAACTAGAAGTAAGAAATCATGAGACTCATAGACTACTTAAATCTCTACTATAATCAAACAATGAATACAATCAAGGTTCTCTCTAACATTAATTAGATACATACATCAACATCATCAAGATCTACGGTCAATCTTGGAATACAACAAGAATCAGAAGAGACAATCAACCAAAACAATCACAAAAACTACCCCTTAGAAGTGGACTTGTGAGACAGACTTAGAATGCTCAAAATTATATTTTCACTATTCAGAATGTACCTTTATGAGTGTTGAATGTTGTCATTAAATACCAGGATGATCTGACGGTTGGATTGTGAGAAAACTCTGATCTCGTGGGACCGCTATGTGCTGAATTGGGGTTGCGGATATTTCATTATTCTCTCAATTTTTCTTTTGTTGTTTCTCACCTTATGAATTGTTGACACAATTCTCTTTGTATTATAATAACAAAGGATTACACAAACATGGGCTACTAACCCATATTCATTTGGATCACTCAAAATAGGAGGGATAACCTAAAAAGCTCCCCCAACCGGCTAGTTGGAGGGCAACACCATTCCGTCTAGCATGCGATAAAACTCAAACTTTCCCCTAGGCAACACCTTCGTCAACATATCTGAATCATTGTCATCGATGTGAACATTCTCAAACTTCATCAACTTGGAATCTAATGGATGACAAATCCAATGATAACGAACATCAATATCTTTGACCTCAAGTGAAAGGAGAAATTCTGCGATAAGTGAATGACACTTTGATTATCACAAAACATGACATACTTTCCTTGTTTTGGAATCCATCCGACTGCTCCATGTAAATTTCTTCATGTAGATCACCATGAAGGAAAGTTGTCTTCATGTCCATTAGCTCTACTTCCAAATCAAGACTAGTGGCTAGCCCAATAACCACTTACCACAAAGTGAACCTTGTATCTTATTTGAGAGGTAAACTCATCTTGCTTAATCTGATAATCCCATATATATATTCTTCAATGCTCTTTTACCCTTTGGAAACTTTGCTAACTTAAAGGTATTATTCTCACAAAGTGATTTCATTTCATCCTCCATGACATCCATCCACTTCTTTTGTTCTCATCCTCCAAAACTTCTTCAAATCTTTTAGGTTCTCCATCATCGGTAAGAAAAACATACTCGTTCTAGGGGTATCGAAGGAAGGCCTTTTATCACGAGTAGACCGTCTCAACTCATTAGAAATAACTGGTTGCTCAACACTTTCAATCTCTTGATCAACCTCATTTTCAATAACGTCTTTCATAGCCCCTACATCAACAATATTATTACGATTTAAAACATTATCAACATTCAAATCCATGCCATGATTTTGAATTAGAACATCTTCGAAAGTGCTAGGGGTAGGAGTAATAGTAGTTGATTCTGTATCAACCATTTCTTCATTTTCAAAAATCAAATATTTATTCTCAACTTTGTTGATGTTCTCAATGGTATAATCTGTTAATTCTTGATTGGCAGAAATTTTGGTAAAACTTGGTGATATCACAAGATGTCCTACAGGATGTCTTAACATATGTTATTAACATTTTGCAGGTGGTTATTTTTATTGTTGCAGGGTTTAGTTCATGATGTCAAGTTTGATGTCTTGACATTTTCTCGCACCTCGAAAAATCACGGAGACATTTCGGAGAAACGACCCTCGCGCGAAAGGCGCGGAAATATGGTTCGACAGAGTCGCCACCGAACTTTATTTATCCCGAATAAACGGGAGAGGAAAATATCGAGAAAACCTCTTAAAAACGAAAGGATAGGAACAGGGCTGTCGCAACCATGTTCCGGGTTCGGGAGTCGGTTACGTGAGGGGAAGGTATTAGCACCCCTCACGTCCGTCGTACTCGACGGGAACTTCTTAAGGTAATTGTGGGGAGTGTTGTTTAGGTTTACTTGTTTTCTTCTTGTTATTAAAGGTAGAATTGGTAGGGTAAAAAAGGTAAAAGACGCAAAGGAGAGATGGGTGGTTAGAGGATAGGGTGCTCGCCAAGGATTGGGGCCCTTGTGCCTACGTATGCTCATTCGGACGAGAATGAGGAATCAGAGCATCGTACTTCGACTACGGGAAAGGATGGGGGAAACGGAATATGGAGGGAATTGTGCTCGCCAAGATCATCGCAATCTTGTGCCTACGTATCTTATATCCAAGAATGAATAAAGAATCAGAGCGTTCGTAGTTCGTGGTAACAACCACGAAAAGATGAGGTTGAATAGGTTGGAAGTTCGAGAAAGAGACGAAAGAGTGACTGACAAGCAACCTAAGAGCGCGCCTCAAGAGCTTGTCACTCAAGAATTCAAGGAATGCGAGATTCCAAGAACTCAGTTCTTTCGGGAATTGACTGAATAAGTTGAAGATAAAGAGTTGGATGTTTTGAAATCGAAAGAATGAACTAATAACAACTCAAGGGCGCACCTCGAGAGTTACTCATTCGAATACTTAAAGAATGCTAGATTCTAAGAATATCCCTCTTTCGTAAGTTTTAAAAATGTTTGTAAAAAGATTGAATCGAAAAATGGCATGCGAGGCCAAAGGAAGTTGGTTTGGAAACGGCTCGACGACGTGTCGAGGATTTGTTTGAAAATGAAACCGACTTGACGACGCGTCAAGGGTTAAGATTGTGAGAAACAATATTAGTCCCTGAGGGTGCCCCTAATATCGAAACCACGAGGAATTGTGAAGTGTGTGCGGAATATTGATGGTTGTGAATGCGTACGAGCATTCGACTTAGGAGAACGTTTGGAGAATGCTTGAGTTTGGAAAAATAGAAAGGTTGAGTGAATAACCACTCAAGAGCGTGCCTCGAGAATTATTTACTCAGAAATTCAAGGGATGCTAGATTCCAAGAACTTTTCCTTTCGAAGTTTTAATCGAAAAAAGATATTCTTGAAGAATTGAATTGAATTGAGAGTACGGAAAGAGTTTGCAGTACAAGAGGTGAGAATACGAGATTGGATTTGAAAATGACGATTATTTAGTAAATGAGACGTCGGTCTCACAACCAATTAGTCGGAGTATTATTGTGATGCTAGATCTCAACAACACTTTTTCATTCAAAAATGTTTAGATCTAGGACGGAAATATCATACGGAATGCTAGATTCTTATGATATTTCTTTGTCCACAAAAGAGTATGTTTAAAGAGCGAAAAGTTGAACAATACATTATTTAAGGTGTACACCTCAATAATATTCATTCGAAAATTCAAGAAGTGCTAGACTTCAAGAATTTAATTTTTTCGTAATTTAACTAAAAAATGATTTGATTAAACATGCTTAAGAAATATTATTGCTTCAACGTTTTTCTTTTTTTAAAAGAAAAAATTATTTTGAAATTGTCTTATAAAATAAGCTACTTAATAAATAGAGGAATGCTAATACTCCAATGACATTAAAAGGCGTATTTTGAAGCGAAAAGTCAAATAATGCACTACCTAAGGCGTACGCCCCAATAGTAATTATTCAAGAACTCAAAAGATGCTAGACCTTAAGAGTTTTTTTTCGTGATTTAGTTAGAAAAATAAATTGAATTAAAATTTAGAAAGAAAATAATCAGTCATATTTTGAAAATACATTTTCAAATAGTCTATGATCTTTGTTTAGAAAATACTCATTGAAATGTATAGAAAGAAATAGCAATACAAATTAGACTGTTTAAGTTGTAATACAAATGATTTTAGTAATAAAACTAGATTGAATCAAGATTATTTGAATAATAGTAATATTAATAATTACTCATATCTTGAAAGTAAGTTTGAAGAATATTCTACAGTTTTTATTTATGTAAAAAGAAATTTGAATATGTATTAAAACAAACTAACTACTAAAAGTGACTTGCGTTTTTATTATTTTTTGATATTCGAGTTTCACAAATATTATTAAAAGGTCTGGAATTTATTAAAACATGTTTTTGTACTGCCTAATAGATTAATTGATTAAAAGCTAACTAAAATAAAAATAATAATAACAAAATTTCTAATTGACAAAGAAAATCCTACTAAATTTGATGCCGAACGTTCACCGGGTCCCTTGTGAGAATGGAATCTGCAAAAACAGGGTCATGAAACACAACATATAGAACTGCAAGAATTATGTAGAATGCGAATAACACGCCAACATGACTCAGATTCAAACGTTTACCGCATAAAGTCGACAGTCCACACACAGATTTCAAATGCGACATCACAATAATTCACAAATTCAATACAATGTTTTAAAAGACCATGATACTTTGAAGCACAATTTTAACCAAATCGATAATTTGTTAGCAAAATCCATAAAAGTTCAGCACAAACAAAATTTCCAGAATAAGCTTAAGAATAGATCGATGTCATCTTTGAAGATTATCCAACCAAATAAAAACAGTACAAATCTAAATGTAATAATCCAGTAAACCAAATTATGAATCCGATACATACACCAACCATCTGAAACTTACGCCCAACCTGCTTGATTAATATTTGACCTTGATAGCATAAAAACATTCACAACAACTTTAGAAAAGAGAAACTGATGCCAGCATATACAAACCCTGTCT